ATTTTTATATTTTTTTGAGACAGAGTTTCACTCTTTTTGCCCAGGTTGAAGTGCAACAGCACAATCTTGGCTCACTGCAACCTCCACCTCCTGGGTTCAAGTGATTCTCCTGCCTCAGCCTCCTGAGTAGCTGGGACTACAGGCACTAATTTATTTTGTTTTGTTTTTTTTTAAAGAAAAAAACTTTGTCTATCTTCCTATTAGTGCATGTTCAGCCACCCAGAAAACAATGCCTCCTCTAATAGAGCAAGTCCAGATAAGGAGAGCTTACCCAGAAGACAACTCGTAATTGGGCTTTACCCACATGCCATATTTTGTATTTTTAGTAGAGATGGGATTTCACTACGTTGGCCAGGATGGTCTTGATCTCCTGATCTTGTGATCCGCCTGCCTCGGCCTCCCAAAGTGCTGGGATTACAGGTGTGAGCCACTGCGCCAGCCTGTTTTTTAATTGTTTGTTTGTTTGCTTTTTGAGATGGAGTCTCACTCTGTTGCCCAGGCTGGAGTGCAATGGAGAGATCTCGGCTCACTTGCAGCCTCCATCTCTCGGGTTAAAGTGATTCTCCTGCCTCAGTCTCCCAAGTAGCTGGGACCACAGGCATGTGCCACCACACCTGGCTAACTTTTGTATTTTTAGTAGAGACAGGGTCTCACCATGTTGGTCAGGCTGTTCTCGAACTCCTGACCTCAAATGATCCACCCGCCTTGGCCTCCCAAAGTGCTGGGATTACAGGCCTGAACCACCACGCCCAGCCCGAGAGCAGAGTTTGATAAATCCAGACTATAGTCTGGTAATACACAGACAGCAGCAAACTCAACCACCAGGCTGCTGCCTGCCTCTCAGTAGGTCAAGGGATGGTCAATGTCACCACAGCAGTGACTTCCTGTCTTTCAAAACGTGTCATCTAATGCTTCACTTCTTGGAGTTCGATGTACTATTTCAGTACCTTTTTGAAATCTTAAACTATATTGCAATTTCCCATTCCTCCCTTCAGGATGCACTGATCTAATCCAACTCCCTTCACAGATGGGGAAACAGGTAATGGCAACTGTACAAGATAGCAAGGGTCCACTGGATACAGACTCCACAGCTTTCAACTCCTAGTCTCCAAATAAACCCGTTGGCCAGGCGCGGTGGTTCACACCTGTAATCCCAGCACTTTGGGAGGCCGAGGCAGGCAGATCACATGAGGTCAGGAGTTCAAGACCAGCCTGGGCAACATGGTGAAACCCCGTCTCTACTAAAAATGACACAAAAATTAGCCAGGCATGGTGGCACAGGCCTGTAATCCCAGCTACTCGGGAGGCTGAGGCTGGAGAATCTCTTGAACCCGGGAGGTGGAGTTGCAGTGGGCCAAGAATGTGCCATTGTACGCCAGCCTGGGTGGCTGAGCGAGATCCATCTAAAAAAACAATAAAAATTAAAAAATATAAATAAACCCCTTATACACGGCTAATCCCGTGTCCGTGTCATTTCCCTCTTCTCCAAATCCTAATCCTACCTATTCGAGGTCTGTAGGGAAAGCTGGCTATGCCAGTCATTAGACCTTGGCCTTGTCACTTAACCTCCTTGGGCTCAGTTAGCAAACACCCAACCTACTCTGAAACGCAAGACTGCTTTCTAATGCTCTGAAATGGTTAGAAATTTCCCTGTCTTGTGACTGTCAGTTAATTTTATCAAGTCCTTCTGCTTTGGACTTGAGTATCCTTTTTTGAGACAGGGTCTCACTCTGTTACCCAGGCTGGAGTGCAGTGGCGTGATCATGGTTCACTGCAGCCTCAACCTTCCAGGCTCAGGTGATCATTCCACTTCGACCTCCAGGGCAGCTAGGACTACAGGTGCACTCCACCCTGACTGGCTAATTTTTTGTTTTGCCATGTTGTCCAGGCTGGGCTTGAACCCCTGAGCTAAATCGATCCACCCGCCTAAGCCCCTCAAAGTGCTGGGATTACAGGTGAGCCACTGAGCCAGGTTTGAGTAACATTTTTAAGTAACTGCAGTCGGGCCAGGTGCAGTGGCTCACGCCTGTAATCCCAGCACTTTGGGAGGCCAAGGCGGGTGGATCACCTGAGGTCAGGAATTCGAGACCAGCCTGACCAACATGGCAAAACCTGTCATTACTAAAAAGAATACAAAAATTAGCTGGGCATGGTGGTGGGAGCCTGTCATCCCAACTACTCGGGAAGCTGAGGCAGGAGAATCGCTTGAACCCGGGAGGTGGAGGCTGCAGTGAGCCAAGATCGCACCATTGCACTCCAGCCTGGGCGACAGGGCGAGACTCCATCTCAAAAAAAAAAAAAAAAAAAAAAGAAAGAAAAAGAAAAACGATAAGAAAAAACTTGCAGTCTAGGGGTTCAGGAGATAGCTTCCAAAGATCCCTTTAAAGCTCCTAAGTTCCTTGGTATTCTGGAGCTCATTCTTCACACTTCTGGTGAGCACAGTGCTCTTAGGAATTGCTTTTTGTTTCGTTTTTTGAGACTGTCTCGCTCTGTTGCCCAGGCTGGAGTGCAGCGGGGCTATGTCGGCTCACTACAACTTCCACCTCCTGGGTCCAAGCAATTCTCCTGCCTCAGCCTCAGGAGTAGCTGGGACTGCAGGCACGCACCACCACACCCAGCTAATTTTTGTACTTTTAGTAGAGACGGGGCTTCACCATGTTGGCAAGGCTGGTTTCGAACTCCTGACCTCAGATGATCCATGTGCCTCGGCCTCCCAAAGTGCTGGGATTACAGGCATGAGCCACTGTGCCCGGCTGGAACTGCTTTCATCTGAACCTCCTAGTGTGGTTGTAGGCAGGGCCTTCTTTGCTGTGTATTCCCATTACCACTTGCACACTTATGCAGCAGCCCGTATTTGCTGCCATCTGCCTTTTCGGCTGTGTCCAGGCAGCACAGGCCCCCTATTGACTGGGCAGGGAATTGCAGCTAAACCCTGTTCTTTCCCTTGCTGCGGCAGTTTCAATCCTAATTCCACTGGTAATTGGGGGAGCTTTGTTCCCTCAACTTTTCTACAGAATAGGTCTGCTAAGGCTTGTATATTGGCTTATTCACTCTTACCACTTAACATGCCACATAATTTGTCTATCAACCAATGAATCCCAAGTACCTAGAACAGTGTGTGACACAAAGGTGGCCAATAATCTGCTACTGTATCATCTCTAAATCTGAAGTTGCTAGTGGTTCTTTGAGATGTGAAACAATTCCCTGGTGATGCTTCAGCCAGGTACACTGCAAGGGGTATCAAAGAAGTGAACTAACCAGGTAAAAGCTCAAACCCACAAGATTTCCACTGTGCACATTCACTCAGCTGTAGCTTTTCAGTAAGTCAGGCAATGCCATTACCTGTTACAATGTCAACAATTAACCTAGATTTTTTTTTTTTTTGAGACAGAGTCTCCCTCTGTCACCCAGGCTGGAATGCAGTGATGCAATTTTGGCTCACTGCAACCTCCACTGGGGTTCTTGCAATTCTCCTGTCTCAGCCTCCGGGGTAGCTGGGATTACAGGTGCACATCACCACACCCAGCTAATTTTTTGTATTTTAGTAGAGATTTGGTTTCACCATGTTGCCCAGGCTGGTCTCGAACTCCTGAGCTCAGGCAATCCATCCGCCTCGGCCTCCCAAAGTGCTGGGATTACAGGCGTGAGCCACCGCATCTGGCCTTAACCTAGATTTTTAAAGCAATAGTGAACTCTCCGGAGTCCTCTTTTTGCATAAAGAGCAAAGAATAAATATTTTAGGCTTTGCAGGCCACATGATCTCTGTGCATTAGGTTACATTTACATACGTAATATGCAAATGACGCACATGGCTATGAAACAAGAACATTTTATTGAAAGACATTTTTTTAAGATGGGGTTTCACCATGTTGGTCAGGCTGGTCTTGAACTCCCGACTTCAGGTGATCCACCCACCTTGGCCTCCAAAGTGCTTGATTACTGGCATAAGCCACCACGCCTGGCCAGAAATTTTTATTTGCTTTAAAATAGCATAAAATATTCTTTCAACTACTTAAAAATGTAGAATCCGGCCAGATGCAGTGGCTCACACCTGTAATCCCAGCACTTTGGGAGGCCAAGGCAAGCGGATTACGAGGTCAGGAATTTGAGACCAGCCTGGCCAACATGGCAAAACACCGTCTAGACTAAAAATTACAAAAATTAGCCAGGCGTGGTGGTGCGTGCCTGTAATCCCAGCTACTCAAGAGGCTGAGACAGAAGAATCACTTGAACCTGGGAGGCAAGTATTGCAATGAGCTGAGATTGTGCCACTGCACTCCAGCCAGGGTGACAAGACTCAGTCTCAAAAAAAGAAAAAAAAAATGGGAACCATATAGTTCACAGGCTGTACAAAAACAGGCAGCAAATTGAGTGGGTGCGGTGGCTCACACCTATAAATCCCAGCACTTTGGAAGGCCGAGTGGATCACCTGAGGCAAGGAGGTGGAGACCTGCTTGGCCAACATGGTCAAACACCATCTCTACTAAAAATACAAAAATATTAGCTGGCATGGTGACAGGTGCCTGTAATCCCAGCTACTACTTGGGAGGCTGAGGCAGGAGAATCACTTGAACCTGAGAGGTGGTTTCTATGCTCTTTGCAGTGAGCCAAGAGCACGCCATTGCACTCCAGCCTGGGCGACGAGAGTGAACACTGCCTCAAAAAATAAAACATAAGGTGTAGGAGCCACTAGTCACATTAAGTAAAATTTACAAGGCCAGGTGCAGTGGCTCACACTCAGAGGCCGAGGTGGGCAGGTCAGAAGTTTTGAGACCAGCTTGGCCAACATGGTGAAATGATCATGGTCTAAGACTCGGTCTCCAAAAAAAAAAAAAAAAAAAAATCACAGAATTAGTCCTTTACACTAAACACACTTCAAGCACATGGCAAACAGAGAACATTTCTATCATTGCAGAAAGTTCTACTGGATAGTGCTGTTAGGTTTGGCAGGGAAGGGAGAATTCAGTACATCACAAACCACAATACAACAGCAATAGAAGTGAAAGGTCTCACATATTTATTACTGAACCCAGGCAACCAAAGCCTTCTTGTTTTTTTTTAACATGAATAATAGAAGCACTGTGGGTTGTACTAACTAATGCCTTCATAACAGATCCAGAGAGGAAACTGTTCAAACTTCTCCAGATAGCGGTGACATTTTTCAGCTTGATTTGGTAACACGATTGTGACTTTCAGACAGCATAAATATGTGTGCCATCGCATGTGTAATTTCTTATAGACCCAGCTTGGTTCTTCTCCAATGTCTCCTTTTGGAGTTGTACCTACACAGAAAAAAAGTCCAGTTACAAAGGCGGTCCCACAGTTTAGCTTTTTCCATTCACACAACCTTTTCAGTACCACAAAATACAAAGGGCACCACTTTTCCCTCCTTAAACAAGTTTGGAGCTCTTTCTGGAGTTAAAAAAATGATTCCCTGTGTGTTTAAAAACTAGCCAAGCCAAGTTTTATCCTCTCCAAATGATTCAAAGCTAGGCTCTTAACTGGGATCAAAATAGTGGGAAGCCCGCTCTCTCCAAGTGTACCTGCACCCACTTTTGATTCAATGGACTTGGGGGTAAACAGACATTCTGAATGCCCTCATAATGGGTCACACACACATAAAAGCTCCCGCATGTGGTTTTTTTTTGAGTCTTGCTGTCACCCAGGCTGGAGTGCAGTGGAACAATCTCAGCTCACTGCAACCACCGCCCCCCAGGTTCAAGGGACTCTCCTGCCTCAGCCTTCTGAATAGCTGGGACTACAGGCGTGCGTCACCATACCCAACTAATTTTTGTACTTTTAGTAGAGACGGGGTTTCACCATCTTGACTAGGCTGATCTTGAACTCCTGACCTCGTGATCCACCAGCCTGGCCTCCCAAAGTGCTGGGATTACATGCGTGAGCCATGGTACCCAGCCTCGCATGATCTTTATAATCAATTAACTGCCCCATTCACGTCTGCTGCAGGGGAACGGCGATCCCAGAATTGTCTGTGTCAATCTCTCATGATTTTACCCTCATAAAGGTAAAGCCAAAAATGATTAACACGGCTTTTCTTTCAGCAGGATAATGGCAGTACTTCCACAAAATGAAGCACTGTAATTGCAGCCTGCTTTCAATACATTTTTAAAGCTGGAAGGTAGCTGAGGCAATGAATATCCTTCCATTGGGTCAATTCTCTGGGTCAAGGGTATATAATCCTACATACAAAATACCTTCCCAATTCTGGAAGACCAGAGTTTTACAGCAGGTTATTTATTGAACTAGACATTGAGTTTTACATACATTTTTTTTGAGACAGGGTCACACTGTTGCCCAGGCTGCAAACAGTAGCCAGATCACAGCTCCCTGCAGCCTCTCAACTCCTGGGCTCAAGTGATCCTCCCACTTCAGCCTCCTAAGTAATTAGGACTACAAGCACGTGCCACCAAGCCCAGCTAATTATTTTTTTGGTAGAGATTGGGAGAGTGGCATCTTCCTATGTTGCCCAGGCTGGTCTCAAATTTCTGGCCTCAAGCAATCCTTCTACCTTGGCTTCTTCCAAAGTGCTACAAATACAGGTGTGAGGCACTGTGCCTGGCTTATATATACTTCTTTCATTCTTCACAACCTATAAAGCAGGTCCCACCAGTCAGGCAGGACAGAGAAACCAATGTTCATGTAGAGGGATCAAATAATAAAGGATAGTGTTTAGTATCGGTGAACAAAAGGTAAGCAATTAACTAACATTTTCACATCTAACTGGCTAAATGAACTAAGGAAATGGGCCCTCAACTTCAGCCCTAACAAGCCACACCTTAAGTCTTCTTAGCAAACCAATCCCACTAGGTTTGCCACACAAGTCAAATCAAGTTCTAACTAGTTTCAAGAGTGCCTAGTTCTGGCTGGTCCAAGTGCAGTGGTGTTTACAACTAACTGATCACAACCAGTTACAGATTTCTTTGTTCCTTCTCCACTCCCACCGCTTCACTTGATTAGCCTTTTTAAAATTAATTAATTAATTAATTTTTTTAAAAAAAGAGTGCCTAGTTCTAACTAGGAACTCTTGAGCTTTCAATGTCCTTCAAGAGAGACCCAATTACTAGGCTCATCCTACAGTGTCAGCTTAGGCCTGCAGTCCCAGCTACTCAGGAAACTGCGTGAGGGTTGCACCACTGCACTCAGCCTGGGTGAGAGAGCGCGACTGCTGAAACTTGGACATCTCTCACTGATTCTTGATGCTTAATTTTCCTCCTTTTAAGACCTGTCCCAAGGCCCATCAGGTCCAAAGAGCAATGGGCTGAAAAAGGCGCTCTCCCTGGAGTTAGTCTAGCTGACCTTGGTCCTTCATAGCAATTCTAAAGTGTTTTTCCTTTGAAATCATCAATTCAAGTACCTCTGCAGTAGAGAGCAGTTTACCAGTCTCTCCTTAGAAAAGAGAAATATTTTAAAAACGGGGCTAGGTGCGATGGCTCACACCTGTAATCCTCTGCACTTTGGTAGGCTGAGACAGGATTGCTTGAGCTCAGTTCAAGGCCAGCCTGGGCAACACAGAGAGAACCCCACCTCTACAGAAAATTTAAAAATTAGTCAGGTGTAGTGGCATGTGCCCGTAGCCCCAGCTACTCAAAGGGCTGAGGTGGTAGGGTCACTTGAGCCTGGTATGTAGAGGCTGCAGTGATAGTGCCAACACAGACAGAACAAGGCTGGGCGTGGTGGCCCACACCTGTAATCCAAGCACTTTGGAGGTCAAGGCGGGTGGATCACCTGAGCTCGGGGGTTCAAGACCAGCCTGACCAACATGGTGTAACCCATCTCTTAAAATATATATAATAAGAGAACAAGATCCTGTCTCAAAAAACAAAAACCCACCAAAAAGCCTAAAAACAGACTGGTCTTCCCCCACGCCCCAGGATGTGTATAAGACAACCTTCTACCTTACAACCTAGCTCAGACTGAAGATGACCAGGAAATTAACAAGTACTGGAAAAGTGTCTGCCCCTAAGCTCACTTGGGCTGGATGCAGTACAGAAACAAAAGAAATGTGTTTCTTGTTTGTTTATTTGAGATGGGAGTCTTGCTCTGTTCCTCAGGCTACAGTTCAGTGGTGGGATCTCAGCTCACTGCAACCTCTGCCTCCTGGGTTGAAGCAATTTTCCTGCCTCAGCCTCCCCAGTAGTTGGGATTTCAGGTGTATGCCACCGTACCTGGCTATTTTTTTTTCTCGTAGAGACAGGGTTTTGCCATGTTGGCCAGGCTGGTCTCGAACTCCTGACCTCAGGTGCTCCGCCCACCTCAGCCTCCCAAAGTGCTGGGATTACAGGTGTGAACCACCATGCCTGGCTTACTTTTTGTATTTTTAGTAGAGACGGGGTTTCTCCATGTTGCCCAGGTTAGCCTCGAACTGTTGACCCGTGATTCAGCCACCTCAGCCTCCTAAAATGCTGGGATTACAGGCATAAGCCACCACGCCTGGCATAAGCATGTTTTTAAAAAGGAATTTGAGATTGATGTCAGAGGATGGATTAGATAGCATGCAATTTTAATCATGTATTTATACTCAAAAAGTAACCTTGGCCAGCCAGGGACGTGACTCTTACATTTCACAAAATACAAGCAGTATGATGGAGGGTCTTACCTGATTTTATTACCAGTTTTCATCCGAATCCACTGGGGAATGGGACGATTTTGCTTTTGTTTCTTGGCCAGGAATCGCTTAATCCTGAAAGTCTTGTGAGAAGACTGGGAAGAAAATGCAATCTGTTTAGACAATGATATTACAGCCTGCCCAAATGATTCAAATAACTCCTTCGAACCAATATTTGAGTGCTTAACACATACCCTGGTCCCCAAATCTTCTCAATGCTAAGCCATCAAGACAAGCCTCTGACCCTCACTTCTCTGGAGGCAGATATCAGTTTCTATCGTTCAAATAAAAGTAAGTAGAATGAGGGCGGGTGTGCTAACTCACGCCTATAATCCCAGCACTTTGGGAGGCCTAGGCTGCGGATCATGAGGTCAAGAGACCATGCTGGCCAACATATCTCTACTAAAAATACAAAAATTAGCTGGGCGTGATGGTGCATACCTGTAGTCCCAACTACTCGGAAGGCTAAACCAGGAGAATCGCTTGAACCTGGGAAGCAGAGGTTGCAGTGAGCAGAGACTGCACCACTGCACTCCAGCCTGGGGGACAGAGAGAGACTTTGTCTCAAAAATAATAACAACAATAAGTAGAATCAGGAGGTTAAGAAACATGCAGAAGCCTGGCAGATCACGAGGTCAGGGGTTTGAGACCAGCCTGACTAACATGGTGAAACCTGGTCTCTACTTAAAAATACAAAAATTAGTCAGGCGGGGTGGTGCACACCTGTAATCCTAGCTACTTGGGAGGCTGAGGCAGGAGAATTGCTTGAACACTGGAGGTGGAGGAAGTTGCAGTGAGCCTGGAGTGCGCCATCGCACTCCAGCCTGGGCGACAGAGCGAGACTGTCTCAAAAAAAAAAAAAAAATGCACAAAATCGGAGCATCAATGTGCAGAACCAGGATTCAAACCCAGGTCCTCTCTGCTCCACAGCCAGAGGCTACCTTCCAGTTTACCAGGTAGTCCCCCAAGGACTCAGACCACACTGGGAATGGCTAACTTGGCTTCCTGGGAAGAACACAGCTTTGAGTCAAACAGAACCACCTACCACTTGCAAGTCAAACAGTCTCAGTGCTGTACTTTGTAAAATAGGGTACATACTTTTCTAGTGTCATCGGGAGGCTAATTAAGACTTAGGCAAAGTCCATGACATTCACAAGATCTAACTCACTCGCCATTTCCGTATTAATCCTAACTCTAGCCCCACTGCTAAATTTCACTGGCCAAAAAAATAAACTTTTAAATTCAAGAACGAAAAAAAAAAAAAAGAAAAAATAAATAAACTTTAAAATTTAAAAATAAATGAAATGTCACTTTTACTTTTCCAAGGATGACTGTCTCAGTTTCTAGTTGGCATCTTTTGGCTTTCATAAAGACCTTCAGTCATAGAAGGCCAACCCCAATACTTCCCCAAATCTACAGAATAATCTTGCAAAAATGGCACAGATGCACATTTAATGCCTGGCCAACCTCGAACATACGCTTGCATAATAATGGGAGCCAATATAAAGAAGGCAAAGATTACACCCACTTCTCCCCGTCCACAGTAGTTGTAAATTCTGTCAAACTGTAAAATACTACTACTTATTCGCCTCCATATCTAGAAATCAATCAACATTTTACATTTCCCAGTGAAACAGTGACTGGTCCGCTGCTGGTATTTACTAAGAAGGCCTGAATGACATACAGGTTCACAAAATACCCCTTGTCCTAGGCACTGCCACGGGGTGATGCTCACGTCTCCGAATAAACGTCCTGTAAACAAAAGTCCTGGAATCTAAACATGTGGTTCGCCTCTCCGCGCCAAGTTCAACCCTTTTCGAAAACCAGTAGCCCATATTACTTTCCTGATTACCCTCCACGATGCGCGAGCCACGGGCACCCCACGATTTCGGGGGCGGCTGCCATCCCCTACACCCCGCCTCCAGAACCAGAGATCGCTACAAGTGAAGGGAAAGCGGAATCCCTGCCCGTCTCGGCAGCGGCCTGGCCTCGAATCCGCGGCCGCAGTGCAGTCCGTCCCTCTCCAGGTTGCTTGCTGGCTCACTAGCTTCCCTCCAGGCCACGAAGACAACAATGGCCGAACTCGACCTTTTCTTGTAAAAGACTTTAAAAGGCTCCTGCCCCTCCACGCTCTGCGCGGCCTAGGCATTTCGTGGCGGAGGCCTCGAGTCTTGGGAACCTACCCCGGGGCCGATGGGGGCCGATGGACTTACCATGGCGAGAAACGGAATAAAGCACACACCACGATGGCGGAGAAAGGAAGAGAGGAGGAAAGCAGCCGGAAGAACGAGCTTAGAAGGCGCTTCTGGCGGGCGGAGCTTGGAAGGTGACGCGGCGCGCCGACCGCCTCTTCCTAGCGCCTTTTCAGTCTATGCGTGTGCTCCCGTGCGTTCCCGTGGCGCCGTGGGAAAGCGCACTGCTTCCTGCCAAATGCAGTTCGCTTTGCTTCACTTCCCTAAGTGGGTTCCCCCAGGGGCCCGGCAGTGTGCTAGGGGCACCCTGCTTCGTAAGTGAGGCAGACAGCCAGTGATAAATGCCAAAGCAGAAGCCCTTCCAAAAAGCGAAAGAGCAGATTGGGCGGGACTAACCCTAAGGGATGGCGAGGGAAGCGTCCGTCATCTCCGGGCGCCGGGGACTGGGAACGCCCAGTCGGGGCTGAGCAGGCGGAGAACAAGTGCCATTTTCCCAGAGGGCTACGAGTCATTTCGACCTGCTTGGGAAGTGTGGGAAGGAACTGTCAGCCGTTCAACAATGTTGTAATAGTTAATTTTTACCTTTCTTATGGCTCCTAGCACTATCTGTTCTGTTGTGATGTAAAAGGATAAAAGTAACAGTGGCCGCTGCTTATGGGGGCTGATAGTTACTACGTGTCTGCATGTATTAATTCATACCTTACGGTCTTTTTAACATGTCTTACCAGTGACTCTTTGAATCCTCACCACAACACTACAAAGTTGAGGTACCGTTAATTATCCTCATTTTACAGAAGAGGAAACTGTGGCAGGGACAGGTTTAAGTTGTATCCCCAAGGTCACACAGCCACTGGGTTGCACAGCCAGTACTCAGACTCAGGTGGTCCAGGCTTCAGAGTCTGTGCTGTCTCCACTACCCTCTACTGCCTTTTCAACTCCACAGATTTTGAGGACCTATTCTGTCAGGTTCTGGTCTTTGTACTGGGGGTACAGGAGCAAACAAATCTGACCAAAAATCCCTCCCCTCGTAGAGTCTTGTGGTGATGGTATGGTTCTGGGTTTTTTGTGTGGTGGGAATTACACAAAGCTACACATGTGATAGAATTTGCCAGGTGCGGTGGCTCACGCCTGTAATCTCAGCAATTTGGAAGGCCAAGGCAAGCGGATCACGAGGTCAGGAGTTCGAGACCAGCCTGACCAGCATGGTGAAACCCCGTCTCTACTAAAAATACAAAAATTAGCCACGCGGGGTGGCACGCGCCGGTAGTCCAAGCTGCTTGGGAGGCTGAGACCAGGGGAGTTGCTTGAACTGGGAGGTGAAGGTTGCAATGAGCAGAGATCCCAACACTGCACCCCAGCCTGGGTGACAGAGTGAGACTCTGACTAAAAAAAAAAGAGAGAAAGAAAGAAATAATTCTGTACAACTCCCCCTTGCCCACCCCTGCCCTGATGAGAACATGTATAACTGATGAAGTCTGAATAAGCTCTGTGGACTGTGCCAATGTGAATTTCCTGGTCATGATATTGTACAGTTATGCAAGATGCTAACACTGGGGAAGACGAGATAAAGGGTACACAAGGCCTCTCAGTCCCTTTCTTTGCAACTTCTTGTGAATCTTACTAGTTCAAAATAATAAGAATTCGACTGGGCGCTGTGGCTCATGCCTATTATCCCAGCACTTTGGGAGGCTGACGTGGGTGGATCATGAGGTCAAGAGATCGAGACCATCCTGGTCAACATGGTGAAACCCTGTCTCTACTAAAAATACAAAAAAATTAGCTGGGCATGGTGGTGCGTGCCTGTAATCCCAGCTACTCAGGAGGCTGAGACCGGGAGAATTGCCTGTTCCCAGGAGGCGGAGGTTGCGGTGAGCCAAGATCACGCCATTGCACTCCAGCCTGGGTAACAAGAGCGAAACTCCATCTCAAAAATAAAAAAATAAAATAAAATAATAAAAAATAAAATAAAGGGATCCTGGAACCAATCCTTCTTGGATACAGAGGGACGATTATATTTGCAAAGGTGTAGAGGCTGAGAACAGGTATCCAGCACCTCCCAGAGCCAGCCCAGGAGTCTGAGATTTATTCTAGGGACCAACAATTTGTAGACTTCCTTTTTTTTTCCTTTATTTTTTTTGAGACAGAGTCTTGCTCTGTCGCCTAGGCTGGAGTGCGGTGGCATGATCTCCACTCACTGCAACCTCCACCTCCCAGGTTCAAGCAATTTCCTGCCTCAGCCTCCCGAGTGGCTGGGATTACAGGCGCCCACCACCACACCCAGCTAATTTTTGTATTTTTAGTAGAGATGGGTTTTCAGAGTCGGAGTTTCAGCATGTTGGCCAGGCTGGTCTCAAACTTCTGACCTCAAGTGATCCAACCCCCTAGGCCTCCCAAAGTGCTGGGATTACAGGTGTGAGCCACCGCACCAGGCCTAATTTGTAGACCTCTTTAACAGACTGGTTCTTTGTTTTAAAAGCCATTTTATATAGAAACTCCCTCTTGACTCTTCTCTTTCTGTTACACCCTTAATCCAATCTCTAAGCAAATCCTGTCAGCTCTTTAAAAAATGTAGCCCAAATTCAGTGCTCCTCGTTTCCCTCACCATGATTCATCTCTCACTTGGATTACTGCAAAATCCTCCAAACTCTTCCCCCTTCTCTGGCCCTGCCCCTCTACCGTTTCTTCTCAACACAGCAGCCAATGATCCTGTTAAAACCTAAGCCCCATCATGTCACTGTATTTAGTGGCTCCTTTTCATTTTTTTTTTTTTTTTTTTTTTTTTGAGACAGTGTTGCTCTCTCACCCAGGCTGGAGGAGCGCAGTGTTGTGATCTTGGTTCACTGCAACTTCCACCTCCTGGGTTCAAGCGATTCTTGTGCCTCAGCCTCTCAAGTGGCTGGGACTATAGGCACATGCCGCCACACCCGGCTAATATTTGTGTTTTTAGTAGAGATGGGCTGTATGTTGGCCATGTTGGTCTTGAAATCCTGAGCTCAAGGTATCTGCCCCACTCTGCCTACCAAAGTGCTGGGATTACAGGTATGAGCCACTGTGCCTGGCCTATTTAGTGGTTCTTTTTTTTTTGAAACAGAGTCTCACTCCATTGCCCAGGCTGGAGTGCAGTGGCACAATCTCAGCTCACTGCAGCCTGTGCCTCCCAGGTTCAGGTAATTCTCCTGCCTCAGCCTCCCAAGTAACTGGGATTATAAGCATCCACCACCACACCCAGCTAATTTTTGTATTTTTAGTAGAGATGGGGTTTCACCATGTTGGCCAGGCTGGTCTCCAACTCCTGACCTCAGGTGATCTGCCCGCCTTGGCTTCCAAAGTGCTGGGATTACAGGCGTGAGCCACCGCGCCCGGCCAATGATACTCTTTTGTTGTTGTTGCAGTCTCCTACCAGTCCTTGAGTCTCTCCCTCTCATTCCTTGCTAATCTAGCTCCTGGCTTACTGTCACTCTCTCAAACACTACTCCTGTCACAGTTCTTGGTGATTTCAATATTCATGTAGATACTTCCAGACCCTTGGCCTCCTCTTCTCCAATGATCTTGTCCACCACACCCAGCCACCTGTTCCCTGTCAAACTTTTGACCATGGCATTCTCCCATTCTCTTACCACCGCCTCATCCTCACAGCTCGCTTCCTCTAGTGTGCCAACACTAAGGCTATTTCCACCTCGCTGGGACCATTCATCCACTGATGAGACCATCAATCCCTATCGCCTTCCTCTTTTCTCTCTGCCACCCCTTTGTGACTTCTATTCCCTCCTAACTTAGCTTAAATTGCATCAAACACTCACCTTGCCGGTACATACTTTGCCTTTACTTGTACTCATTCGGTGAAGCCCTAACCCTGATAAATCCAATTCTCTTACTCAACGACTTGCATCTCTGACAGACAAATGAGGCTGGAGGAAACAAACTAGTCTCGCTTCAAGTTCATGACCATTAATTTAAAGTGGGCCTTTAATGCTGCCCCACAACCCTACATTTCTTCCTTTCTTTTCTTATTTTTTTTGAGATACAGTCTCACTCTGTCACCCAGGCTGGAGTGCAGTAGCACGCTCTTGGCTCAATACAACCTCCACCTCCCGGGTTCAAGTGATTCTCCTCCCTCAGCCTCCAGAGTAGCTGGGAATACAGGGGCCTGCCACCATGCCCAGCTAATTTTTGTATTTTTACTAGAGACAGGGTTTCACCACATTGGCCAGGCTGATCTCAAACTCCTGACCTTGTGATCCATCCGCCTTGGCCTCCCAAAGTGCTGGGATTACAGGCATGAAGGCGTGAGCCACCACGCCCGGCCTTTTTTTTTTCTTTCTTTCTTTTTTTTTTTGAGATAGAGTCTCACCCAGGCTGGAGTGCAGTGACACAATCTTGGCTCACTGCAGCCTCCACCACCCGGGTTCAAGCAATTATCCTGTCTCAGCCTCCTGAGTAGCTGGGATTATAGGCATGCTCCACCACACTCAGCTAATTTTGTATTTTTAGTAGAGACAAGATTTTACTATATTTGCCATGCTGGTCTCGAACTCCTGACCTTGTGATCCGCCTGCCTTCACCTCCCAAAGTGCTGGGATTACAGGTGTGAGCCACCACATCCGGCCTTTTTTTTTTTTTGAAACAGAGTCTCACTCTGTCTCACCCTGGCTGGAGTGCAGTGGCACGATCTTGGCTCACTGCATCCTCCACCTCCCGGGTTCAAGCGATTCTCCTGTCTCAGCCTCCCGAGTAGCTGGGATTACAGGCATGCACCACCACACCCAGCTAATTTTGTATTTTTAGTAGAGACAGAGTTTCACCTTGTTGGCCAGGCTGGTCTCGAACCCCTGACCTCAGGTGATCTGCCGGCCTTGGCCTCCCAAAGTTCTGGGATTACAGATGTGAGCAACTGCCCCTGCCCAACCCTACATTTCTTTAGTCCAGCCAAGCTCCCACTCTCCCAGAGCAGCGATCCTCAAGCTCTCTTGTACACATGAATCGTCTGGGGATCTTGTTAGAATACAAATTCTAGTTCTGCATTCCCAACAACCCCCTGGGTGATGTGAATACTGCTGGACCTTGGACCAGCACTTTTGGTAGCAAGGTCCTAGATGAAGGGATGAGGGGTTGGCCATATATATATACATACATTTTAGAGGCAGGGTCTCGCTGTGTTTGGCCAGGCTAGAGTGCAGTGG